GCCCAGAATGGAATTTCTGATCAAAATGTGGGAGTCCCGCCCAGAATAGCCAAGAGTCCAGTGGTTAGGGCGCTCAGCTAGGCTATAGGGAAACCCAGGTTCACTTCCCCAGCACTGTATCCAGCAGAGCAGAGATGTCAACCTATGTCAAAACGTGAAAGATCTCAGGTTTGTCCTGATGCAGAGTGGGAACATTTTTCTGGGATGGAAAACTGTTTCCCACAGAGCTCCAATTTTGGGTTCCAAAAATGAAACATTTTAAAGCGGTCTGATTTTGGGAGTACTTTCTGAAAATCTGAAGCTGTATCAAGTTACGCCCCCAAGTTACTCTTGTGAAAATCTTGACCATCCATTCTAATCTTCACCATGATCCTGCAAACAGCTACATGTGTGAGTAACTCTGTGCATATGGGTAGCCCCTACTCCATGTGTAAAATTACATTACAATTACAAAGGGTTTGCAGCAAAGTTTTACACAAACAGACATTTATAATTAAAAACGCTTCCTATTCCTCAGGCTGTTGCTCTCAGTCTTTCCACTGTTTCCTTGAATGAAAGAAAAAAACTAAGTTAATTAGGTACAAAAAAGCCCTCACAGCTGCTAAAATTATTGACACAATGTAAAGATAACATAAAATCCCAAGAGAAAAATGTATCAACTTACTCTGATGTGGTGCATCATGGCCCTGAATGGCCTGTGACAGTCCTTGAACTGCCTCCTCTTTGCACAGCTGCTGTCATATCAGCGCAGCTTTAATGGGGAAAGGTTGTTGGCCACAACAATCTCACTGTAGGGGCACAGATCTGACATAGCTTGTCCTCACTATAAAAGATCTATCGGAACACAGGGTCATGGGGATTGCCATGCTGGACCAGACCCACCTAGTGCAGTGTCCTGTTTCAGACAGGAGCCAATGCTTGCTGCTTCCGAGGACAATGTGAGAAGCACTGTGGTGGACAACTATGAAACAGTTCATAGGCTTAAAAGAAATTTCCACTATCTGTTAGTGGCTGTCTTAAGCCTGGAAACATGAGGGTTTTATAATTTGCTATTTCAGCTTCTTGCCTCCTAATTCCCTTTATTGAGCAAAATAAAAATAGGAAAAGAAGTGAGACCCTACTCCTGTTCCTTCTGAAGTCAATAGCCAGACTTCTAATGTTTTTGATTGTGCAGGACCAAGCCCTTAATAATCTAGTACACAGGGTAATAAATATAATGACAAAGAATGACAGCAAGTCAATATCTATAATTTCTAAGCAACCAATTCCTCTGTGGATCCCATTTTAGGTTGAGGCATATTGGGTACTGCCTCACCCAATGGTGATCTTAGAGCTGCCCTGCATCAACATTTTCTGCCATGCAGTCAGGTGCCTTGTACAGAAAAAACACATGTGAACAATATTTTACACATACACACAGTAGGGTAGATCACAATAGATGTCAATAGACTATAGGAATAAATAAGACATTATTTTCAGGCAACTGTGTGATGTGTCCCTACTACCCAGGCTTCTGATTGATGTTATTGAAGAATCCATTTTTATTGGATTCATTATGTCCCTAGTTCATAATTGTCAGAGAGAGACAGCTCAGCAGCACAAGGACAATGTACTATTAGAAATTTCCTGACTCGAACCTTACAGTTGGTGAATGTTGGTCCTTGAATTCCACTGCACGCAAACTCTAACACTGAAATCATGCTTGTTGGCAAATGGGATTAACGGAAGCTGAACGAGTGACCTGGATCGTAACCTACTGTGTAGGTCCAAAAATGGATCGGCAGATGTGGCATTGGTTACAGTCTAACCAATATGTAGCATGGATAGTGTGATGAGATTTTCAAAGTGAAGAATTGAGACGTTTGTTGCAGTGGGTGGGAAAAGACGGAAGGTTGGAGCACACACAGGAGATGGTTTTAATGGGCATCGGGGAGATGTCCGGAGAAAAGTGAGAGAAAATGGTGCCTCTTTTCTCTTTCCTCAGCCAATCAGTCTCCTATTGTTTCCCTGTGGATTTAACTGTATGGGTTGGGGAGGGCTGGCTTCAGGAGTTATATAGAGCAGAATCTCACGGGAAGGTTTAGAGGGAGAAGAAATTGTCAGCAAGTGACAGACCCAATGGGGTGAGATCTTTGAGGGCACATGTCTTCAGTCTGGGTCTCATCAATTTACCAGCTCAGCTGAGGTTCCATCAGGCAGCCTATCTGCCAAGGTTTGCTAAAACCAGGACAAAACACTTTTTTTTTTTTTTTGTAAAACTGGTAGTGACACAAGGGCAGGCCCTGAAAACTGGGGCAATACTGATGTTCAGGAAGGTATGATTACTGAAGACATGAGTTACTCACAGATCATTTTCAGACAATCAGCCAAGACTTTCAAACATGTGTGCCTAAAGCAAGTTAGGGTCCTAAGTCCATCTGTAAGCACCTAAGTAAGTAGACTGATTTTTCAAAAGTGCTGAGCAGCTAAAAACTTCAGTCTGCTGTCCCCTCCTTTCCTCTTGTGTGCATGTAATAGATCAGGGAGGGGCTGCGTCCAGAGTAAGGACCTCCCTTAGAGTGAAATCTGCAAAAGGGTTCCTGAGTTATGCTCTCTGTCTGAATTGGCAGAAAAGTAGAACAACCCAGTAGGGACCAGTTAAGGATCAGATACCCTTCCTGCCTTTTACTTGAAGTTCTTAAAACAAACAAAAAACCATCCACACACATTTGAACCCCCAAGGTACAAGTAGGCCTAAACTGAGTATCCATATAAGCATAAATCTGTTAGCTGTGTCCTTCCTCATGGTTCCAACTTCCCAGTGGACATTATGTCCCTACTTGTCACATTAAGGCCTCATTAGACCCCGGACTGACAAACATATGTGGGCAGATCCCTGCACCCACACAAACCCTATGAGTAAGGCTCCGCACAGATGCAGGGACCTGCTCAAGTGGTTCTCAAAAAAAGGTTGAGCCAGACATTTTACCCTATTTGGAGCAGAGATCTGTCTGGCAAACCTGATGTTGGCAGGTAATATTTTCCAATAAAGACTATTTCAGTGGGAGAAAAGGGTCTTTCTGCTAAGTGTGAAAGTTTCCCCAAGTTGCAGTGTTTTTAGCCGTGTTGGTCTGAAGAAGAGCTGTGTGTGGCTCAAAAGCGTGTCTCTCTCATCCACAGAAGTTGGTCCAATAAAAGACATTACCTCGCCCACTGGTCTTTGTGTTTGTTGCTCACAGGTATATGAGTGTATGTGGAATCAGGGAACCAGCTTGCTGAAGCAGTCTCCACAGTAATGGCCTTATCTCCAACTTCTGCGTACAGCATTTTTAAGAGAGGAGGGGAGGCCATGAATACAAAAGTGCCCTAATCTTCATTCATTTTCCCCAGCGTGTGAAACTAAAACAACACCACTGTCTTTTTACCTTCATTTTTCATGAACAGAGTGATGTTTAATTACCTGGATCTAAATTTAATTCACATTAAGTTAACTGGTCCTAAATGTTTTATAAATCAAGAGTTAATAAAAAAAGTAATTTTATCTCAGTACTGGCCTCATTTTCCCTACTGATTCTCAATCCAAGCTCAACAGACAGCGCTTTTTGTTTGATGATTGTTCTTTATTGCAGCTATATAGACGCACAGAGCTGAGCTAGTCTTCTCATAGTAAAATGGTTTCTGGCAGCCAGTATTCTAGCAAACTGATAGAATACAATTTCCAGCATAGATCCTGACAATAATGCAAAATCATCTGTGTTGGAAGGCCACCAGGAAACCTGGTTACAGCACAGCTGCCCCCAGGCACTATTAAAACATAATTCCATGTTGACGGGTTTCAGAGTAACAGCCGTGTTAGTCCGTATTCGCAAAAAGAAAAGGAGTACTTGTGGCACCTTAGAGACTAACCAATTTACTTGAGCATAAGCTTTCGTGAGCTTCCGATGAAGTGAGCTGTAGCTGACAAAAGCTTATGCTCAAATAAATTGGTTAGTCTCTAAGGTGCCACAAGTACTCCTTTTCTTTTTATAATTCCATGTTGTAATTCAGATGAGACTCAACTGTGTCTTCTTAACTGCATCCCCAAATCATGCTAAAGAATTGGGAGCTTTAACATGATTTGGGGTCATGGCTTAAACATGGTGAGGAACCATCGGCACTGCCAGAGGAACTCTGGTACAATTGATTTTCTGTTGTAAACAGGACCATTGACTCCTCAACCAAAATAACCAAGTATTAAAATGTTGAACCAAACTATGGCTGCTCTATCATGGGTGGACTGGGGTAGGAGAGAGGGGATTAAGGGATCTCCTTCCCCTCCCCACCAACACTTCCATGCAAGAAGCAGATATAATTTGGTTGCTTGCACTGCAAGAGCTCAAGGGAGGAAGTTATTGTCATGCTGTCTGGAGTGGTTCACCACTGTGAGTGCCAATCTCAGGGCAGACTTTCAGAAGCAGGGCAGACACCCCAAACTTGCTGTAGGTTTTATAATTAGATTTCACCAACCCAGTAACAAATGTGAACTCCTGGACACAAAAACCATGGACCATGGAGTCACAGACAGTCCCTTAGGCTCTCCAGTCTATCTTGCCACCCAGGCAAGCTAGACTTAGTAATAAATGGTCACTTACACCAAAGACCATAAAATATTCAGGTTGCTTCCAGTCCCAAGAGACCAGTCACTTACCCCAGATCAATTTGTACTTTGTCTTTCACACCAAAGACAACCCTGGTAGCCAGTCCTATAGTAAACTAACTAAGGATTTATTAACTAGGAAAAAGAAATGAGAGTTATTTACAGGTTAAAGCAGGCAACATATATGCACAAATGAATTCAGACTATGATTCCAAAAGATGACAGAGAAGTAGTAATAATGTCAGCATTCTATGTCTTCTCAGGGCTTAATCCAGGTCAACTGAGGGATCTCTGCTTTTGTTTCTTAGCTCCAGCCCTTGTAAGAGTCCATACAGCAAAGAGATGAAAAATCTTGATGTCAACTATCTTTATTTCCTTCTTCCAGCACTCCAACCAATGGGATGAGGCCTTCGCAATCAACAAAGCTTTTGTCCTACAATGGCCCACTTCATTCTGATAGTTCTCCTGGATGGGCAGGGGGAGCCATTCTTCCCATCTGAGTTCACAAGTTCAAAGCAGGCATTTTTAAAATTATAAAACAAACTTATATTTTACCTTGTAGCATGGAACACAAACATTACAAGTAAGATTAATGCATGCAGCAATTTACACGCCTTTTATGGAGTCTAAACACATCCTTACAAGTCTAATATCTCTCTTGAACAACATTAACAGGTAGGTGAGCTGGTCTGGTTTCCAGCTATGAATTTTTCAGTGCTCAGCTGATGCCTACAGACTTGGCAAGAGCTGGCTTCTTAGCATCACAATTATCCAGCACTTCTGTCAGTGCTGAATTGTTGAAAGGGGATATGTCTGGGTGGCATGAGGGTATGGCCACTGTTTCCTGGCTAGTGGCTGTGGGCCTACACTGAGAGGAGTGCATGCTGTAGCTGTTCTGCAGGTGTTATAAGTGTCATTCATGAGCATGCTCTCTGCAGTGCACCTGAAGACATTGTACCTGCCTCCTCTTGAGTGCTATAGTGATGAGACTCATGAGTGATATAAATGCCTAGAAAGACAGATGCTGTGCTTTCTGAGTAACTTCAAAAAAGCCTTCTTGGCCGTATTCTCAGTGCTGTGGACTTTCCTTTTCCCATAAAACTGCCTTGGCTGAATAAGCAGCAGCAATTAAGTTAAAGGAAATGATAGATTTTTAAACTGAGACAATTGAAGCAATAATTACTTTGATCTCTAGCAAAGCCTAGGGGCTTGATTATTTTCTAATGGAAGGAACTGAGACAAATGAGATTTCAGCAGTATAGAACCAGAGAGGGTTCAGGGTTTGTGGTGGATTAGAATGAAAGGCTATGGTAAATCTCTTTTCCTATGGTAGGAAGGGCAGCCCTCACTGCGCCACATGGCCTTCTCATAGTCCTGTAGTTTGCAGTGTCTGCCTGCATTTTTTAGGAGAATGTTTCTTTGCTTAAATTACTGCCACCAACTTGGAGCCTGATCAAACCAGTTTTATTAAAAACCATCATTTGGCTTCTAATGTTTTTACTCTGATTAAGAACATTAACTTGGCTAAATGAACAAGGGAACGGACTGTTGCTTAGTCTCTCAATGCCGAAAAAGCTTTTGATCAGGCTGAGTGGGAGTTTGTTTATGGTACCATATAAAATGAAATTTGGAGATAAGCTTATGAATTGAATTTGAACCAATGAACAACAATAAACAGATCAATTTATGTTCACTAAAGGCCCATGCCAAGTTGTCCTTTTAACCCTTAATTGTTTTACTTACAAATCCTAAACTATTTGTGATTATCTATCCATGTTAGCTATTTGGACTGAAAATAGCTGTTATGGGTGGCTGACTGTAATAAGGGAATTTGATATTTTACTTTTGTTGGAGAAGTTGAATGAATTACACTGTGGCCAAATAACCCCTAGTTCTTTTGTATAATACACAGGAATATGGATGGTCTCCTGATCCCTGTATGATATTACTGCAGTAGCAGCTTCCTTCCCTTCTTACAGTCATAAACAGCAGACATTACAATTAGAAAACAAGATCATAGAAATGTAGGGCTGGAAGGGACCTGGAGAAGTCATCAAGTCCAGGCCCCAGGGCTGAGGCAGGACCAAGTAAACCTAGACCATCCCTGACAGGTGTTTGTCCAACCTGTTATTTAAAACTTCCATGGGAGGCTGTGGAATCCCCATCATTGGAAGCCTATTCCAGAGCTTAACTACCCTTATAGTTAGAAAAATTTTCCTAATATCTAACCTATATCTCCCTTGCAGCAGAGTAAGCCAGTTACTTCTCGTCTTACCTTCAATGGACCTGGTAAACAATTGATCACTGTTCTCTTTATAGCAGCCCTTAACATATTTAAAGACTGCTATCAGGTCTCCCCTCAGTCTTCTTCTGTCAAGACTAAACAGACCCATTTTTTTAAACCTTTCTTCATAAGTCAGGTTTTCTGACCCTTTTATCATTATTCATAGATTCATAGATATTAAGGTCAGAAGGGACCATTATGATCATCTAGTCTGACCTCCTGCACAATGCAGGCCATAGAATCTCACCCACCCACTCCTGCAATAAACCTCTCACCTATGTCCGAGCTATTGAAGTCCACAAATCATGGTTTAAAGACTTCAAGGTGCAGAGAATCCTCCAGCAAGTGACCCGTGCCCCATGGAGGAAAATCTGCCCTGGAGGAAAATTTCTTCTCAACCCCAGCTGAACCCTGGGCATGTGGGCAAGATTCACCATCTAGATATCCAGGAAAGAATTCTCTGTAGTAACTCAGATCCCACCCCATCTAACATCCTGTCACAGGCCATTGGGCCTATTTACCATGAATAGTTAAAGATCAATTAATTGCCAAAATCATATTATCCCATCATACCATCTCCTCCATAAACTTATCGAGTTTAATCTTGAAGCCAGATAGGTCTTTTGCCCCCACTGCTTCCCTTGGAAGGCTGTTCCAGAACTTCACTCCTCTGATGGTTAGAAACCTTCATCTAATTTCAAGTCTAAACTGCCCAATGGCCAGTTTATATCCGTTTGTTCTTGTTATTTTTGCTCTTCTTTGGACTGTCTCCAATCTATCCCCATCTTTCCTAAAGTGTGGTGCTCAGAATTGGATGCATTACTCCAGATGAAGCCTCACCAGTGCTGAGTAGAGCAGGACAGTTACCTCCCATGTCTTGGATACAGCACTGCAGTTAATACACCCCAGAATATTAACCATATTTGCAACTGCATCACATTTAGATTCATATTCAATTTGTGATCCACAATAACCCGCAGATCCTTTTCAGCAGTACTACCATCTAGCCAGTTATTCCCCATTTTGTAGTTGTGCATTTGATTTTTTCCTTCCTAAGTGAAGTACTTTGCACTTCTCTCTATTGAATTTCATCCTGCTGATTTCAAACCAATTCTCCAATTTGTCAAGATTGTTTCAAATTCTAATCCTGTCCTCCAAAGTGCTTGCAACCCCTCCCAGCGTGGTGTCATCTGCAGATTTTATAAGCATACTCTCCACTCCATTATCCTAGTCATTAATGCAAATATTTAATAGTACCTGTGGGACCTGACTAGATACATCCTCCCTGTTTGACAGCAAACCCTTGATAATTACTCTTTGAGAATCCTCGTTCAACAAATTGTGCACCTACGTTAGAGTAACTTTTTCTAGACCACATTTCCCTAGTTTGCTTATGGGAATGTCTGGCACAGAACACTACAGAGCAAAAAGGGCTCTGTGCTATTCCCACTGAAGTCAATGACAAAAAAGTCCATTTAATTTAACGGGAGCAAGATCAAGTGATTGGTGTGTAAAAAACCCCAAATAAATATGTACATTTATATAGGACTTGAACTGTATATTTGAAAGATATATGGATAATGTATATTATTTATTATTGGTTAATAAAGTGATTTATACAGTGCAGACACATATCTACTGTGAATGCACATAGACTGTGGCTTTGCTACAAGTTCTGTGCTTAGGGTGATGAATAGCTATGTCACCCCTGGATCAGTGCAGGGAAAGAGCTGTGCCTCTGAGAGGATCTCCTTTGAAAGTGGGGCTGTAATATATGTGTGCATATGTCTAAATTTTTCATCACAGAAGGAATCCAGCTGCTGTTTGTCTTGCATCCGGAGGCGGGGAGAGATGGGTTTGAGTTTTAAGCACAGGACTAGGAATGATGAAATCTGGTTGTATTTCTGGATCTGCACAGGCTTCCTGCATAACTCTGGGCAAGTCACTTCATCTTGATGCAATTCCCATTAAAGTCCGTGAAAAGACTCCCATTGACTTCAAAGTGTAAATCTAGTCTTAAAAGTGATTGTATACAATAAATGACATCATGAGATGTTGTTTCTCAATGATTCATGATCAAATCTGCTTAGTTTACAAGTAATAAGATGTACTTTTCTCTAACTCTCAGTTCTGTGAACCCAACCTGGAGTCCGAAAGCCAGGTTGGATGGGAAACAGTTTTCCCATCCTGTGAACAATGAGATTTCTCCTGTTCCATACTGGAAGAAAAGTGAGACCTTTCAAAGCTTTGAGAGAGTAGCAAGCCAACTTCTCAGAAATGCCAATAGCCTGGTGGTTAGGGCATTTACTGCAGATGTGCGAGCCTGGGCTTATGTCCCTGCTCTGCCTGATTTGGGGCAGGGACTTGAACCCAGCTTTCCTATGTCACAGGTGAGTGGCTGAGGCTATTGGCAGTTCTGGGGTGTGAGCTCTCTTGCTCTCTCTGGTTTAGACCATAAATTTCATCCTGCACCTGATGAAACTTTAGTTCAACTTTGGTATATTCCCACGAACAGTTTGGTTTCAGTGAAAAATGGTTTTGTCAAAAAGTACCTGATCAGATCTACTTTCTAGCTTGCACATCACCAATAAGAAGTTCCTGCAATCAGAACTTAGTAAATCTACTCATGGTGCCCAAACTAGAATCCAGCTCACTCTCCCATAGCTGTACTGAAGAGACAAAGTGGGTGAAGTAATATCTTCTATTGGATCAGCTTCTGTTGGTGAGAGAGAGATCAGGTCTAGCTTAAAAGCTGGTCTCTCTCTCACCAACAGAAGTTTGTCCAATAAAAGGTATTATTACCTCATCCGCCTTGTCTCTCTAATATTCTGTGACTAACACAGCTACAACACTTCATATAGCTGTATTGGTTCTGCTGTGCTGAGCAAAATGTAAGCAGGCTTAGCCCTGGTCTACAGTACGATGAACTTATGTCGATATAACTACATTGCTCTGGATTTTTGACACCCCTGAGCGATGCAGTTACACCAACTGAACTCCTGGTGTAGGCAATGCTGTGTCAAAGGGAGTGCTTCGCCTGTCAACATAGCTACTGCCTGTTGGGAAGGTGGACTACCTACGCTGACGGGAGAAACTTTCCCGTTGCCACAGGCAGGGTCTTCACTAAGTGCTACAGCAATGCTTGGAGCTGCATTGGTGCAGCTGCCCCACTACAGTGCTGTGAGTGTCGACAAGCCCATAACCTTAACTAGAGCGGAGCGGTGTGAGGCGGTGGTGGTTCTCTCCCCGTCCGTCGGAGAGGGAGACCACGCCCTCTCGCTGCAATGCTCCTACAGCGACTACGTTCAGAGGGGAATTAGCTGACAGTTGATAGCCCCAAGCCTGCAGTCCAGGCCAGGCAGCAGCTGGGTCTATGATCCCCGGCCCGCAGCCAGAACGGGGCAGCACGCAGTTAATGCTTCTGGCCCGCCGTCAGGCAGGGTAGCAGTAAGTCTATAGGCTCCAAGGCCCTCAGTCAGGGCGGGGCAGCAATCAGGTAATGGCTTTGGCCTGCAGTCAGGTAGAGCAATACAGGAGTCTAGGGGGGATTAGCTCTCTGGCAAGAGAGCCAGCAAAACCATCTGGTGTCCTAGCTCGGGCGGGCGCCAGAGTAATGCAGACCTCCTGGCCAAAAGGTGGGGAGGCTGCCACCCCCAGGGGTGGGCTGGCAGGGGGACTCAGGCCCACTCGCTCCACTGCATCGCGTCCCAGCCCAGGGCCCTAACAGTGGCGGAGTGGTCCGCCACTGGGTCAGCGGGGAAATCCGGCCACAACACGCTGGCTGGCTTGCAGTTAGTAACACAGCCGAACCCTATTCAGCTTCCCTGGACTCCTTCCTACACTGTCAGTCAGGGGGTATCTGGGTCCCAGGGTTGTCGTTTGCATTGCTGGGGTAAACAGCAAGTGGCAGCCCCAACAGCTCCTCGGGGTCCCCAGCATCTGGCAGCTCCAGCAGCAGCTGGCAGCTCCAGCTCTGGGTCTCTGGCACTGTAGAGACCTCTGTCGGGTCTGGGCTCCAGCAGCAGAGGGTAGATGGCCTGCTCCTCTGGCAGCTCTCCCTCCACAGAGCTGGAGGGCCTGTCTTTTATATTTCCAGTGCCTGTCCTGCCCCTCTGCTTCTGGCGGGGCTGCCGCGGGGTGTCCCGGTTCTGCACACCAGGGGGCAGTCGTGGTTCTCTTCCTGTCCGTCCGGGAGGGAGACCATGCCCCCTCACTACAAGCGGAACTATGACTGAATACTCACAGGGGGAACAAGTCTATTGAGAACAAAGGTGCTAGTTTTACAGTCACTAGAAGAAATGCAACTTAATGGTAGTTGGATCAGGCCTAGTCATGCCTCAGTTTCCCCATTATAAAAGGTAAAATAGTAATATATAGCTATCTCACTGGAGGGGGTGGGGTAAAAGAAGAGGAGGATTGTGAGTATTAATTCATTACTCTGATTACAGGTTTTTTAAACTAAAGTCTTAAATTAAGCCTATCCCCAATAATTATATCTGTACACCAGTAATTCTGGAAAATATATCATAGATGATCAAACCTTCTGAGGACATTATTAACTTCTTCAAACACTCCTATTCAGGAATCATAGACTACATGCATAGCAGGCTTCCATTTAAATAACTTTTTTCTTGACATACTCCCTTTATCACACATTATTTAGTTTTAGTCTGCATTGAAATAACATTTTATTGGAAATCCGTCTTGCATTTACCAATATCTGCTTATATGTGGAAAGAGACCTCAAATTCTATGCAGTCATTCTCAATCAATGTCATCTAGGAATTAACTCAGCGTTATTACATTATTGATTCTATTTGTCCCAGGAGCTACATCAATTTATCATGGAATTTTTGCCTCTTTATCAAGAAACACAAATCAAGAGCATTCATTATGTTGCTGCTATAGACTGGAAGGTTTTTGGAATTTAATTTTCCTTCCAATTTTTGTCTAGATTTCCAGCAAATTTAAATTCCCATCTAGCCCCTTTGCACTTCCTACCAATTGTAAATAGTTCCGACAAGTTCTCTTGAGGCTTGCCTTATATCATTAGGGTTTGCTAAGATGTTGCAATATTATGGTATAATAAACAACGAAACTGTGCTATATTGGTATAAAAGTTTGGGGGAATAAATGATGAGATGGTTTATGTTACCAAGTGGTTACATGTAAATTACGCAAAGAGCTTTCTAGACTTAGTCATACTATATATACAGTTCCACCATGTATTGCATGACCATTTATAGTTTTGGCTCACTGGTCTTAAAGGTGACCTGAAAATGGGGGATGGCTGGGGGAGGGGGGGGGGGAAGAGAGAAGAAAAATGTTATGGGGGGAGCTTTTTCATTTTTTGACTTCTTTAAAATGCAGGTATGAAAAGTCTTGCTTTTGTTTTGCTTTTTAAATTTCTGCTTGTATTTTACATTAGAAATTGAGGTCCTGATAGACTCTGCGATGACTGGAGAACTAGTGATATCAGAAAAATCAAGCAAGACAGCTGAGGAAATGGGATTTCGGTCAGATTGTTAAAAATTCTGTTTTTTGTTAACATGTATTTAACTTAAATGACTAAATAACACTTTGGAGAAAAAACATCTTGGTTAAATGTTCAGCCCCCTCGACCTCCCTTCAATTAAGGTATGAGAGTTCACAAAATACATTCCTGAGATTCCCCCCATCGACCCACAGAGATCCTCCAACAAAAATCAGGGAAGACCAGAGTTGACATGCCTGACATTTCTATGATAAAAACCAAGGAGGTTAAAACAACCCACAACAAACCAAGAGACACAGGCTTGATTTGTAAAATTCCTTTATGTAAAAAGACCCTTGGAACTTTTACTCCTAAAAGATATTCTGTAGGTTGGAGGGGATGATTTTGTGGTCTAGCCATTTGGTTTGAGTCAAGTTAAGTATCTATACTTTTATTGTATTCTAACATCACAATTGCACCACTCAACAAGGAGTCTTTCATAGGGTAGCAGCAGAAGGAGAAGTGAAGGAAGGAAAGGGGGGGAATGAGTGTTGGGGTTAAGAGAAGGGAGGAATTGTCACTAGCTCTATCACAATTATACCAACCTGTGTATTTTCCACAGATGCCCACCAGTTTATTTATAACTTTCTCAAATTATTAGGCACACAAATGTAATTATAATCATACCTGTAAAGTTCTTTGACACCATCAGACAAAAGGTATTATAGAAGTACAAGATACTGTTATAACTTTCACTGTATAACAACTTCATCACTGCTCACGGTATACAGGCCATATTACTCTTGGGTGCAACAGCAATATAATTTGAAGGAAATATTGTGTTAGAAGTAAGTGTATTTAGAAGGCCATAAGCTAAGTAGAAAAATTAGAACAGACTTGGAGAGTAAAAGGCTAATTCAGCTGAGTTTAATTGAAACTACATGAGCAAGCTAGAAATGGAGATTTCCAGTTCTGTCTGTTTCCATGGAACCTCCACCCACCAGAGTTACCTAGCACAATATCATATTATCTAGGTTACTTCACCAAAGCAAATTCTCACTGGCTAACCACACTCTGATTATACTAAGCTTTCTAGTTTCCTGTGGAAGCAATCCCCTCATACAAATTTTACCCTCTCCTGGGTGTTGCATACACCACAGAAAACTCTGAATAGTGACATAGAACAAACAGTATTTTTATTACTAATTATTTATATTATCATAGTACCTTGGAGCCCCAGTCATGGACTAGGCCCCCCAGTGTGCTAGGTGCTGTACTAACACAGACCAAAAAGACAGTCCCTGCCCCAGTTATAAATCCTACCTTGGGAGAGAAGCCCTTCATCAGCAAGTGTACCAAATGAAAAATTCAGGAGAAAATCTACTTTTAATGGCTTTTCCCTGAGATATCAAGGCATTAAACTCGGGTTACCATACGCCTGGGGTTTCCCAGACATAACCTCTTTTGGGGTCCTTGGAGCTCCGTGTGGGCGGATTTTTGAAATAGGAACAAATGTCTGTGATTTTTCCTTGCTTGTCCTTTTTCCAACATTGATTCTCGTAGAATTGCAATTCCCAGC